CTTCCTTCTGAGGAGTGGCTGGTGGGTTTGAACCGCCAGCCTTCTGGTTAGCAGTCAAGTGCCTTAGGCACTATGCTACCAGAGCTCCTAGGAGCCAAGAATTGTTTATAACCACATACAGCCTTTAAAGTTTGGTCCTTCATTGAGAAAGTTTGCTAACTCCTGCTCTAGAGTTGTATCCTTTGTAGTATCTTATTATAAAAGGTACTCTTTTCTAGTGGGAGAACAATGTGGAACAATAAAATCATTTCAAAAAAAAAAAAAAAAAGGACCAGGTTTGCTAGTTTGATAATGCCTGATGGAACCACTGAGACTATGGCCCCTAGCTGCCCTTCAGGTCTGGAAATGAAGCTACTCCTGTGGCGTCCAGCCAAACAAAAGACAGGCATATGAGCTGCACATTTGCACTAGGTAGATACGTTCCTTGGAGAGATCAATCATGGAAGAACGGAAGGGCTGTGTATGCACAGGGGGACTCCTTAGGGGGCAGGAGTGCATAGGAGGAAGGACACAGGGAAGAGGGTAACTATGGGGAGGAATTGGGAAGGGAGCTGTTGCATTGTGGGAAATTGCAGTCAATGTCATGAGACAGTGTATGTGAGCTGCTGTATGGAAGTGAATTTACTATGTAAACTTCCACCCAAATCACAACAAAAAATGAAAAAAAAAAAAAAAAAGTATTCCTTTCTCTTTACCAGGAGATGGTAGGGGGAGTGTGGCTGGCAGAGTTTGTTTTATGGTTCTGACTCCCTGCTCCATTGCTGGAAACTTCCTCTCTCCTAAGGATATATTCTCCATTCTAGAGCAGCATCTTTTCATAGTCTGGCTCAGGGTGTTTTCTAAGCTGTTGCCTTTTAAGAACCCAAATCAAAATATCTTGAGACAAACATCTATAAAATATTTGGGTTGATTGTGAGGAAGAATAAGGGGGAAATGCTGAATCAAACAGACTTGGGCTCATACCCTTGAACAACACTTGCTCATTAATACAGGTAAGTAACCTTTGTTCTGGAGTCTTCAGTTTCTCATCCATAAAACAGATGGAATACATAGACACAGGACTGTGGTGGTGATACAATGATAGGTGTCTGGCATGGTGGTACAGGCTTAACAGGGCAGCTAACCAATGAAAACCGTTGCCTCACCAAACATGGTCCAGTTTACCTGTTTGGCCTTTTGTCCAGATTTATTCCCAGAACTTGATGCCTGATAATGCAACTTATCTGGGTCAAAGACTCCTTTGAGAGTCTGATAACTGGAGCTAAAGAAGAGGTAAATGCATTCCTTAATTTTGCATAGTTGCAACAGATTCATTCACAGGTCAAGACCACTGTCTGGACAGGTCTTTTAAACTCTTTGTCATCTTTCTCTAATTTTAGCCCCAACCTTCTTAGAGAAGATGATCACCTCTTCCCATCTTCCTGCCCTAATTTTACCTTAGATTTTATTTCCTTCTAGTTCTTTGACTTGGAAGTATCAGCTTAAAAAAAAAAAAAAAAAAATCCAACTTGCCCCTTTTCAATGAGATCAAGCACAGCGCTTGTTGGTCTTAATTCTTTTGATTCCTGGAGTGCCCTACTAAGTCCACCCTACATTAGACATTTTGATCTGGCTGAGCTGTCTGTGACCAAAACTGTTAAAGGGTTCTTTAGGCCTGTCTTACCATGAGGCTTCCCTCTGAGCCTAGAGACATGGATCTCACCTGTTTGCAGTGGGGGTGTGGAATATGGTAAGCTGTCATACTTTCAAAAAACTCAATGCTGTCAAGTCGATTCTAGTCATAGCCACCCCTCAGGTTTCCGAGGCAGTGTCTCTAGAGAAGTAGATTGCCCAATCTTCCTTCCAAGGAGTGGCTGGTGGGTTTGAACCACAGCCTTCTGGTTAGCAGTCAAATGCCTTAGGCACGCCGCCACCAGAGCTCCCTGTCACACTTTAGTGCCCTTGTATATGATATGGGATCTGAGATCATTTTAGGGACCATTCTAATCTGTTATTAGGTGCCTTCGAGCTGGTTCTGACTCAGGGACCCCATGTACAGTACAATGAAACTGCCTGATCCTGCACCTTTCTCACAATTGTTGGTATGCTTGAGCCCATTGTTGTAGCTGCTGTGCCAGTTCATCCTGTTGAGGGTCTTCCTCTTTTTTACTGACCCTCTATTTCACCAACCATGATATCCTCCAGAGACTAGTACTCTCTGATAACATGGCCAAAGTATGAGAGACGAAGTCTGGCCACTCTCACTTGTAAGGAGTATTTTGGCAGTACTTCTTCCAAGACATGTTTGTTTATTCTTCTGGCAATCCATGGTATATTCAATATTCTTCACCAACACCACAATTCAGATCTGTAGAAATCCACAAAGAAAAGACATTTTGATCTGGCTGAACTGTCTGTGACCAAAACTGTTAAAGGGTTCTTTAGGCCTGTCTTACCATGAGGCTTCCCTTTAGGGTAGGAGAAGGGTCAGCTGCTGTGGGCCTCAAAGCCTGTGTATAACCTATCCACTTGGAGCCTCCAGCCCTGGGTGGGCTCCTTCACTGTGGTATAAGCAGGGCTACATTTAGCCCTTCTTTTCCAAAGGAATCCTGTTCCCCACAATTGTGAGGACAATTTTTATCCATGGGCTGTAGAGTGTGGTGCAGGAAGCTCTCTCCTCAGTCTGCCAATATAATCCCCAAGATGAAGACTGTGCCAGTTCCAGCCAGCAAAAAAAAAAAAAAAAACCACTTTGACCCATTGTTGAAATTTTACTGGAAAAGTTTTCATCTTTTATTAGGCACCTCCTGCTCTGGGACAGCAAAAATGTTCCCAATTACTGCCAAGTCCTAATGATCTCTCCACCTGGAATGTGTTTCAAACAACTGCTCATATACCTACTTCCTCTCTCTCTCATTGCATCTTAGGCACTTACCCAGAAGCACACAATCCCTAAGAGTTGTGTCCCGAGTTATCAAGCTCTTAGCTATCAAAACTGCTTGTCTCATTTTCTTGTAAACTGATCACACAAACCCCAAAATGTCAGCACCTGAGAGGCCTCGAAGATCTACTCCCATCTCATTGACAGAAGACTAAAGCCTCGAGGGGTAAGCGCTGGCAGGTGGTCAGTTACCCTGCCTAGACTCAAGGCTCCTGCTTTCCAGCCAACCTTTCTTCTTAAGGCTAAAATTGTTAGATGCTTAGGCCTTTGTGCTGGAGGAAAAGCATGTAGCTATGTGTTAATTCATTCAGCAAAACAGTTAACTGCACAGAGTCCTTTTTGTTTCTTTTTCAGGACCAGGCTTTCAGAGTCACTTCCAGGGGTGTGGGATGGCTCAGGACAACTGCTGCCACTAAAGCTGAATGCTGTGCTTTTAAAAGTTTGATTTTTGTTCTATATTTAAGTAGAACAACAAACAATAATTTAAATTTTAAAAATTTAAGTAAAAAAATTAGTGTAGATGTATGTTGAAATATTTCCCTGACAGTGGTTACTTCCACTGGTAATAATTATTTGGTCTTCTCTTTTGGGGGATGGGGGAGTGGTACATAAGATAGGGACTTCACCCAATGGTGCATGTGGTTCCTTTTCTGGTGGTGGTGGTGGGGCTTGGGGCTTACAGGCTCTTCACTTGACTGTGGTATTGGTTTTACAGATTAACACAAAAGGCTGCTTTGGTTTGGCTTTGAGTCCAGAAGGCTGAAAATGGCACTACATCACTCCAGGGTGGTGCAGTGGGTCCACAGACCCAACTGACTCTAGGACATCACGTTGTTCAGCTTTTTGCTTATCTAATCAGATTTGTGTTCTCAGCCAATGTTCACTAGGTCGCCACGTAGCCTCCTCCCTCCCCCAGCTCCTAGTTAAGCCCCTACCTGGTGTCATCCAACGTACTAGTTCAGAGATTGAGTGTCAAAAGCTGGTTTTGTAGGATAGTTTAGGTGGGTTAGGCATAGATCTGCTTCTCAATGTTCCTAAAGTGCAGGCAGTAGTGTCTCCCTTCAAGGTCTAGAGAGGACTGAACCCAAGATGGAAAGATCTGTGGAATCACACCCCACCTAACCCCCCAAAACACCCTCCTCTCCTTTGATGAGAGACATCCTCTAATTCCTCTGGTAGAATGACTGGTGACCATCTTGTCCCACCTTCAGCTGGGCTGTCTCCTTCACTTTTCTTTGGGGTAAGGGAACAGGCAACTCTTATCCAAGTACCAAACTCTGAAGTTGAGAAGGGCCTCCAGAAGAGCTACCAGCCAAGTGTTCAGGAAGATCCCAGGTAGATGGGAAAAGAATCTTGTAATTGTCCCGTTAATCCTTCCATGTCATAGAAAGATCTAAAGTCTTAGGAATCTCTTTACCAAGAATTCACACCTTTGTCCTCAAATTTATTAAAGCTCCCATGTCATTTATTGAGTATTCATAACTACTCACTTTGGTGATACATGGTCTTTCTTGTTCTAGACATTTCCAGTAGTTCTTTCTTAAGTTATTGCTCATAAACTGTTGTCTTTGGCCTTTGGAGATTTCCCAGCCCTTTGCCTGCTTCCCTGAAACTGCTAGAAAGATATGCTATGTAGGCCACCTCAGCAAGTATTGGGAACAAAGCCCACAAGTTCTCCCACTCATTTAAAAGCTCCTGTCGCCATCTCAGGAGCTCTGGTGGTGTAGTGCCTAAGGCACCTGACTGCTAACCAGAAGGCTGGTGGTTCAAACCCACCAGCCACTCCTCAGAAGGAAGGTTGGGCAATCTACTTCTGTAGTGATACTGGTTCAGAAACCCAAGGAGGGGTCGCTATGAGTCAGATCCGACTCCACGGCAGTGGATGCGTCACTATCTCAAAGGATCTCTGGTGGTGGTGTGCCTAAGGTATCTGACTGCTAACCAGAAGGTTGGTGGTTCAAACCTACAAGCCACTTCCCAGAAGGAAGACTGGCCAATCTACTTCCTTAAAGATTTACTGCCTTGGAAACCCAAAGGAGGTTGCTACGAGCTGGAATCGACTTGATGGCAGGGAGTTCCCCCCCCGCCCCCGCCCCCAGTTTGTCACCATCTCAAGGAGCTCTGGTGGTGCAATTAAGGCATTTGGCTGCTAACCAGCAGGTTGGCGGTTTGAGCACACCAGCAGCTTCGAGGGGAGCAAGGTGAGACAGTCAGCTTTGGTAAATATTTACAGCCTTGGAAATCCTATAGGGTAGTTCTACTCTGTCCTATAGGGGTCATTATGAGTTGGAATCGACTCAATGGCAGGTCTGGTTGGCCACTTCTTCACTCTACATGTTTACAATCCAATCAATTAATGCATGATTCAAAGAACTTCCACATTGGTCTGATTGCCTTTCCCCTAGAGATATGGCAAGTCAGACATCAACTTTTCCCCAGCTAAGAATTCATTCATTCTACTAGGGAGATGATCTGGAGCAGCTAATGTGGGACCTGGGGCATTGTAGATCTGCCTTGTTGAGCACCCTCCCACAAAATGTAGATGAGGGCTTTGTCCAATTCCCTGCACACAATAGACCAGTTCTTTCCTAGACAAGGCTAAAAGGGTTCAATACTATTTCTGAAGTCTTCATTATTAGAATTCTATTTTGATTAGAGTGATCTCATTGAGCTATTCTGGAATCAAAATGTGGCCAGGTGCCTGCCCGCCCTCAAAGGCTTCACGTGGCTTTCAAAGAGGAGAGGGCAGTGCTGACTTTTGCTGAAATGGGTGGAAGGGTCTAAGCCAACAATACAATCACTCAAAGTCCAGATGAGCGATCAGTAAATACGACGTGCCTGAAAGGCAGACCTTGAGCACATTCTTCTGGTAGACATTAACTTATTAAATCGACCCTGACTGCAAATATAAACTTTGCCCTCATCTCATGTGGCAACCACTGGAGGGAATTTCCACTTATAAAAAGAAGTGGGGACTGACACTGGCTCCAACATTCTCCTGCCAAGATGTGGCATCTCAAACTCTTTGCAGTACTCATGACCTGCCTGCTGCTGTTAGGTCAGGTAAGGAAGGGTGTGTATATGTGTGTGGTGGTGGTGGGGGCAAAGGAATTATAAGTGGAACTGGAGAACCAGACTTAATCCTAAGAATGGTTCCTCTGCTCTAAATCTGCAGCATACTGAGAGTGACCATTCTAAGTGTGCAGCAGTGTCTACTGTCCTCTGTGGTGAATTTGTCTTTGCCCTACAGGTAGATGGCTCCCCAATACCAGAACTGAGCTCAGCAAAGAGAAGGCTGAAAAGAATGACCCCATTTTGGAGAGGAATGTCTCTTAGGCCTATTGGAGCTTCCTGCCGGGATGATTCTGAATGTATCACAAGACTATGCAGGTACTCCTCAAAACCTGGAAGCAGGGCTGGGCCACAAAGCCGTGGAAGGTGGGCAGGGGAGAAGTCTGGAATCACACAGACCAAGGAATAAAACTAGTTGGGTGGGGTGGCTGAGGTGAGGCGAGGCTCAAAGCTCCCAAGAAAGGAGAATCCCTCAGCAGCTAAGAACCAAGAATAGGTCCATGTAGGTCCTGTGAAAGAGGGGTGCCTTTTACCTAAGACTGCAGAAAAAGAAAAATACAGCAAAGACCTCTTTAGGCACTGCTAGATCTTTATCTAAAAAACCGCCTTTCTGTTTGATTTCCTCTAGAAAAAGACGCTGTTCTCTAAGTGTGGCCCAGGAATGATGTACATACCATGGAGAGAGAGGACAGCAGTCACCTACAACAATGCTCCGTTCTATGGAATATTGACTAACTGCATTTTGGCTGGAGACACCTAAAATGAAGCAATCTTGAGTTTTTAATATTTAAAGACAGACATGTGCTTTAATTTGTCTCCGTTTTTTCTTAGAATGTTGGTATGTGGATAAACATGACTGAACTTTTCAATTTAGAGTTTATTTTTATATGTATACTATTAAATATCTCAAACTGAATTCTGGCAGCCTGGAATTCCAGCTTCTCAGGGGAGGGTAGGTTTGCTTCTATACACAGGAATACCTCGTTTTATTGTGCTTCACAGCTATTGTGTATTTTTATTTTTTATTTTTAAATTACAGACTGAAGGTTTGTGGTAACCCTGCATCAAGCAAGTCTGCTGGTGCCATTTTTCCAACAGCATGTGATCACTTCGTGGGTCACATTTTGGTGATTTTTGCAGTATTTCACATATTTTCATAATGCTATTGCAAATGGACTACATACAGTGTAAACGTAAGTTTTATATGCACTGGGAAACCAAAATATTCGTGTGACTCACTTTACTGCAATATCCACTTTACAGCAGTGGTCTGGAACCAAACCTGTAGTATCTCAGAGGTTGGAGGTATGCTTTTACCACAGAAAAAAAGTCATAGTCTAATGATGTGTTAACTTCTCTACATGGAAAATGTGAAGGAGAGAATTCATGTTTTTCTTCTTCTTCTTCTTCTTCTTCAAGGAATACAGAACATAATGGCAGGTTAAAGGCAAAAGTTTAGCAAAGCTGTGAAATCAGCCTTGCTGATTTCATAATCTGTGGCCTACGACCCCAGCCCTTCAACTCCATGTAAGGGACTCTAAAGTGAAGAGTCAAAGATGGCAATTTTGGCATTTGCCACCTAATTATAGGCCCTAGTCCTGGAATGTCTGAATGTAAGCCAGAATGGGAAGAAAAATCTAGTTTAATAAATAATGAAAGTGCAACCCACCAAGAACACAAAGAGGATTTGTTGGATTTCTGTTGGAGCAGGGTAAATTATGATCTATCACGGTCAGCAAGTTCACAATTTCTGTAATCCAAAAATGAGACCTGGGCTGGCAGGACCAGAAGAGTAATACTGCACCCTAAATATAGAACAGAAATGACATGGAAGGGGCAAAGTAAGAGTTGAAGAAGTGTAAAGAGCACAGTGTTTATAAACTTTAATACAGAAAATCTATTTGATATTTATTAAACTTAGTTTCTCCAGCTATGGTTTGGCATTATACAAAGCATCTTAATGACACAGTAGAGTTAAAAAGATCTTTACAAATTGAAATGTGATACCCTTGTCTCCAAATATTTTAATTGCCATAAATTTTTTTAAAAATACACATTAAACGCATGTTTGACACTCTAAACTTTCTATAATCTCAATACCACAAAATACATATAATATACTATACAGATGTGGAAAAATCTAGTTAGTATATAATACTTTGCTCACCATTATCAGCTTTATATTGTGAAATGCACATAATGACTTAGAAATTCTAGCTTCTGAGCCCCAAAGTACCTCTGAAATTTTAATGTATTGCAACAAACAAACATCACAGTATATAATTGAAATTTTGGTTGAAAATGTCAGATGCCTAAATATTTTAGATAAAAGAAATGTAAAACAAAGATTCGGGTCATGTACAAACAAAGGCATCCTATCAATCAATCACTAACAGTACCTTTCTGCAGAATTAACAAGGCTTTTAATTTATCAGTGGCATTACCTCCCCTCCAAAACCCTCCCCAAATATCAAACCACTACTCACCAAATAATTTTAATTTCAAATAAAAGGATTTTTAATAAATATATAAGTATTTCCATCCTCCATATACAAAATTTCTTAAAATCATTCAAAACGGAGGCTAGATAGAAATTTTCAGAACTGTGCTTACCAACACATCTGGTCCTCAAAGGTGGAACCTTTTCAGGCACTGCCACCAATTGAGTCAGCTCTGTTGGTGAGCCCCCCACCCCCTCAGTACTGTTGAATGCTCATGTCAATGATTTTCCAGGTATGTGCATAACATTGTAAGATGGAGACACTTCTTCAACAGCAACAATAAACTCAACAGTATGGATAATCATGGCATTGATTTGAAAGGCAGCATTTCCAAATAGATATTTTCCAGAGAAAACAATAGCAGGTAGGAAATTCCAATGGTTAAAAGCTGAAAAGAAATCCCACATGGAAGCAATTAAGAGGTCAAAACAGTATTACTAGAATTTCTGGGTGGGAGCTTTTCCATGCTCATTTAAAGTTTTTTTTTTTTGCCTTAAAGAAAAAAAAAAAAAAAAAAGAATGGCAATTTATGCTTAGCTGAGCAATAGTGGTGAGGAGAGGTTGATGCTGACACTCCTGAAAGTCAGTTTCATTACATGATGAATTACTTAGGCTGCTATTCTAAGATACTTAAAGATCTATATGACTTGGTTTAGACCTAACACTAACGCCTTGACATTCTGTGGCCAAACTCCATGAATAGAGAGAGATTTAGGTAAGGCTTTCCAGCCCCCTTTCTGGAGATAGCAAATTCTTTTTAATGAACCACAGGGTTCATCTGAATAGGGGCTTAGTAAGACCACCTTTACCAACTATTAATTTACTTTGTGTGACTTGCTAGCTTGGTTCTAAGGTTTACAGGTCTGAATTCAATTTCTCCAATGTTTAAATACATGAAAGTCATGCTCACAACCATGGCCAGTTTGGCCCCTTGTCACTACATATTCCAAGTCATTCAAAAGTTAGTACTAGTTATTTCTTCTATTTATTTTACTGATTAGCAACCTTAGATAGGCAGTATTATTTTTCTGGGGAAGAAACCTGCCTCTCCCAACACAAGGATTAACTAAGTTGAAATAAAATTTGTGGTTCATGTAATTAGGGAATATGATTTATAGTAGTCATCTGTAAGGATTAAATGACTGTAAGTCATATTCCCTAATCACGCTCTGCTCCTCATGTTACTTAGTTTTTTAAAAACATCATCAAATTTTGCCTGGAACAGTCATCCCTACTAGATGTTTCTGGGATCCAGAGGCAAACTCCTATAATTCAAAATACATAATGAAGTCATTTTGTTCAATTAGCAACTGGAAAATTAAAATCCTTCCCACCCTGTAAGAGCCCTATTGTACTACAGAAGGACTCAAATATATTTTAAAAGTTAATTTACTACAAATCATAGTAATTAAGCTTTAACAATCTAAAGGAATACACATTGCACCCTTGAACATTAATATTCAAGGTGTCAACAAGAAAGTGTCTTAGATCAATTTAATAAATAATGTGGAAATAGTTGCACTAAGCTAAAATACTAAACACACACATTTCTGACAAACTAATTTCATGTTTTCATACATACATACATATATATAAAGTGTGTATGTGTACATAATTTTAAAATTCAAAGTTGCATACCCTCACACTTAGAAGAGTACACAGCGTGCCCCTCTTCTACACAGCTAGGCATCACCGACTGGAGCGACCACTTGGCTGCTCTGAAACACATGGAGTGCTGCCCTCCAGAGCCAGCACTTCCACTGACAACAGGTGCCTTTTCTAGGCTCCTGTTTCACAATGCAAGCTCATTCATTAAAAGTTAAGTTTCCCAAAGCTTCTGTCATTAAATACAAAATGATGGTAACTGATCTAGCCTGATTAAACCTTTCTTTAATGAAAAGAAACAAACAACAATTAAAAAAAAAAAAAAAACAGTGAATTTAATAAAGCCACAAGTGTGTCATTCAAAGTGCAGCCTAGATACCTATGGATCCATCAGTGCAAGAGCTCCCCAGAGGCACAAGCGTGTGTGGGCATGCACACACATTACCCTAGAATGCTTTTACATTGGAGAATTAAATCAGTACTAGTCAACTTTCTCTAGTCTTCAGCAGCTACAGCTGTAAATTTATCTGAACATTCCAGTACTCACTGTTTATAAAGTCACTTCTTGGCTACTTACAACACAGAAAAAGGTAGCACTGAGGCAAGAAATGGGCTGGGTGCTCTCCAGCCAGGCTAGAGCCTGGGCTGGGCTGTGGAAGCTTGCTTACCAGGAGAGAAGGGCTCCCCTCAGCCCAGCCCAGGCTGGCAGGACTGCCAGGTGACAAGGTTATCCACTGCAATCTGTGTGTTGGTTGCCTGTAAAGGGTTCAATGTTGTAGGCTGCTGCCTCTTGGCATACAAATGTGGTCTTAAAGAGCAGTCAACAGAGTAATTTTTAAAATAGTTGCTATTTCTATAATTAACTATATATTAAGTACAAGTCTAACACTAAAGTTTTTAGCCACTTGTCAATTTCAGTTTCAAACGGTTAGAAAACACTGAAGACACCTATTGAGGAGGGAGGAATGGTAGCCTGTATGTGTTGGAGCAGATGATAACACAGACATTTGAGAAGATGGACCCAGAGGAGAGGGAGTGGTATTTCCACAGACTACGGCATTAGAAATTGAATTATTTAGGGTAACATTTTGATCCATTGCCCATTATCACCTAATGGGAAAAATCCTCCACTATGAAAAGCTTGAAAAATTCATTCTCCAAGAATTAACATAGTTTTTAAAATGAGAATATCTTAGAGCAGCACCATAAAACATGCAGGAAACTCTGCTTTAACAAAATTATCAGTGTGATTGCAGAAATGTTCCTGCTGCCTTTCAGGACACACAAGAGACTAGAATACACTGGAACTCAGAAGTGCCCCACTGGCTGCTGTTGCTGAAAAGTCTAGATGCTTGGATGACACTTTTTTCATTCCTAAGACATCAATGAAAATTGAGGAATCAGTGTCAGAGAAATCAGAGCAGGACAGGACACACATCTACCTGATTAACAGTGGCAGGTGTTTTACTAAATAACTATCATGTCCACGAAAGGAAACTGTTCCTAAAACAGACAGTGAGATTAAATAGAAAGACAGTAAAGACAATTTCTCTAAGGGAAAAAGGTTAAATTCAACATAATTGGTAGATCTAAATATGATATGTAAAAAACAACTTGAGGTACAAAACAGTTAAGAAGCTCTATAAATAAGAAGCCACTGGACAATGAAAGTTTACAAACTTCAGAAATAAGTGTAAAAGAGACTTAAACACAGAAGATTCACTGCACCATTGGACTTGGAGATTTTCTATCTCTTCTTTCCTGTTTCCCATCTAGAGCCTTAGTTGTTGTTGTAATTACCTCTAAATAGTGAGGAAATCCTTTTTTTCTGACTGGATGGATTTATCTTTGGAATAGGGAGATGGATAAACTATTTTTTAAAGCAGCATTACCCAATAGGTTAGACTAAGACATATTCTAAAGTGTTAGCTTTTTTTTGAAAGAACTAATCTTTATGTGACTCTTAAGGAAGATTTAAAAGAAAATAGAATTTAACATGCCCAACCATGTATGGCTGGGCAATCTGTTCCTAGTGTAAAACTTTACCTGTAAACAATCCACAGAGTCTTCATCTAAAGGTAAGATTTAAGGCACACCAGTTAAGATAGGGGCACTGAAAACAAAGAATAGAGGGTATATTTCTCACCTTTGATTCCTATATCTTGTAGGGAAAGGTACTTTGATAACAATTCTTACAGAGCTGGCTTCTTAAACTCTACCCTCCTCCCCATCCTTCCCAAGAGCTTACACTGTACCAAATCATATACTTCCTAGTGTGACTTTTCTGCTCCCATCAGAAACATACATCATTCATGGGGGTCCTCAAAATATAAATGGAGTAAATACAAGAGAAGTTTAAAAGGACAAATCTCTACACCAGGCATTATAATTGTTAAACTGTAGAGCAAAAACACACACACACAAGCTCCAGCCCAGTCCTGCATCAGTTACTGCATGCTCATGTCAGAGTGAAACAATCTAGTATAGGAAAAAGTAAAAACCGTAAGAGTTCCGAAGAAGAGATTTTTAACCTTCAAACATTTCCAATTAAGGACAGTTAGGCAGTGGCCCTTTGGAGTTGGATCATCCTTCTTTCAACTATAACTGATGCTGTTTCACTAAGTGTCAAATGATTAGCAACAAAAAGAACACATTTTTAATAAAATCCACAAAGCTCAAGATTGTCCCTTTATGAAACCCTTTGCATAAAAGTTTGCCTGCCCTCTTCTGTAATGCATTAAATACAAGTTATAGTCACCTTGTGATTGCTTTAGTGTTATTAACACATATTCACAGTTCTTGAAATAATGCAAACCAAATCAGACACATTTCATCTTTCATCCATATAGAGTGCCATCTTCTCATATTTAAGTGATTTTTTCATGTGGAGAATATCCTTAATACTAAATATAAATTCTGCAATAAGATTGTAGTTAAGATTTGAAATAACATCAGGTCGGAAGTGGTAAGAATCGTTCATATCTAAGATGAATCAACTCTTACTCTTGTAAGAGCAACCACAAAAAAGACACTATTAGGTAACAAAGCTCATGAAGTATATAAATAAAAATGCCTACATTAAATTTATGCTAAATATTTGACAGAGTAAATTTATAGGTAGAAATAACTAAGCTTTAAACTAGCCCCAATCTGGGAACTTAAAAAATTAAAATAAATAGAATTTCAATTGATTAGTAATGAATTGCAACTGGAATTTCAATCTTATTACAGATAAGTGAAACCAACCTATTTATATATGTTGATTTAAAAGTATCTAAATAATTTTTCTTATTGGGAACACTGAAGGTTCAATTGACATGACAGCTTGGGGTTTTAAAACACAACATGTGATCCAGGGAGGAGAAACCATTCCTCATTCTTAGTGTCGACTAGGTGGCGTGTTATGGCAGTTTTCCTTTGTGATATGACACAGTGTTGTGGAGAAAATCAGAGGCAACGAGAATATGTTCAGTTCAAGATAACAACTTGGCATCCTGGCGAAGCCAATGCAGTCCCTGCCGGGTGTAACGAACTAGGTCTGTCATGATGCTTGCATTAAAGATGAGAGGGCCCATTACTTTATCCAGTTCAGCAAAGAATTCTAGAAAACCAAAAACATTCATTAAATGATGCATACCTTTTTAAATCCCTGCTTTAAAACTTGAGCGTAGACTATAAAACAGCATCCACATAAAGTCAAAAAAACACTCCCTTCCCCACTAAAATGATTACTGTTCATGTTTCAGAAAAAATCATGACACAGTCTCTCAAGTTATATTTTTCCCCCAAGTCATATAACATTTTAAATAGAATGTACGGTGAAGAATTAAGTACTATACATACAAGCAGAACTCCACTGATGGAAATAAGAAATTGCTACTACGCAGCTAGTATAATGAAAATGGAGACCCAGTGCCCCACTATACTATTTGATTATTCAAAACATTCTCCATGTGCTGTTTTTGTAGAAGCAGCAAGTGGTATTAAAAATGATGATGTATTTTGCATGCTTGCTCCTGTGAGGTTAGGTATGTATGACAGCCTGTGTCCAACCTTTCTGCTGTAATTAGATAATATTCACCATTAATAAGTTAAAACCCAGGTTTTTAGACAGTTTAAAATTTTAAGGGATGGAAATGAAGGAATTCTTTCTATAGGAATAAATACAGGCTGGTGTGCTTACAAGGGAGTAGTAGAGGGAAAAGGGGATGACAATATTCTAAGATTTAATCCTAATGCAATTTTGGGAGAAAACAGAGGGAAGTAGGAACAAGACAGTAAGAAGAAGGTTTTTAAAAGTACAGAAAATTCTCAAGATAAAGACTTCAGCCTATTCAAACAAGAAGTAATCGAAGAGTTGAGAAGGTTTGTCTTTATAGAATTCTAGTAATAAACACAAAAGGAATGTCAGAATAGAAAATTCCTAACAAGTTTTTCTCTATTTCCTAATGAAATAATGGATCTAGGCAATGGTCAACAATGGATACTGAAAACATAACTTAAAGTTTAATACAGAATCTTGTATCAAACTGATCAGGTTGACACCACTTCAATCTCAACATCGCTATAAAAAGGATAACCATTACATGCCTCCTCATATGATACACTAGGAAATGCAGAATACCAACTATGAAATGTTCTTATCTAAAATATTGAACTTCAATCAAGTCTCAAGATATAACAGTCAGTATAAAGAAAATAAGAGGGACAGAAGAACAAGTTAAAGGACACCACGAGTAAGTAATCAGGATATGATCGTTCTATGCCCCAGTTTCTCTCTAACCATCAGTGATATGGCCAAATAAGGTTGGAGAGGAGAAGAAGGATTGCTACAGTATAAAAGATGTTTAGAGATTTATTAGTGAATGCAATGTGCAGACCCTGCTTGGATCCTGTTTAAACAAATCCAACCATTTAAAAAAGATGTATTTGCAACAATAGGGAAATCTGATGACAGACTAGGGATAAACGACATAAAGGAGTTACTGTTAATTTTGGTAGCTATGAGAAAGGTATGGCGGTCATATTTTTGAAAAGTGCTTATCACTTAAGGATGTATATACCAAAGTATTTTCAGGGGAAATGCCACAATGTCTGACATTTGCTTAAAAATAGTCCAGGGGAAAAATAAAGTACGTATGTGTGTATGTGTACATCTATGTATGTGACAGCTGAGACAAGATAGGTAAAACAGTGGGTTGTTAAAGCTGTAGCTGAGTGAAAGGCACACAAAGTTCATTACACTAGTCTCTTTCCTTGGGTCAATGTTTGAAAATGACCATAACAAAAAGTTAAAAAGAAAATAAATTGGCATCAGGGAGAGGAATGGAGAGTTGGGGTGACTAAGAGAACGTCTGCTCTTGGATTTTTACTGATCGACCGTTTTTTTTTATTTTTATTGTGATTTGAGTGTAAGTTTACAGAGCAAATTCATTTTCCATACAGCAGCTCACATACTTTGTCTCATGACACTGACTGCAATTTCCCACAATGCAACAGCTTCCCTTCCACCTCCTCCCCATAGTTACCTCTTCCCTGTGTCCTTTCCTCCATGCACTCCTGTCCCCTGTGCATACACAGCCCTTCTATTTTCTCATGACTGATCTCTCCAAGGAGTATATCTACCTACAGTGTAGTAAATTACTTTGTATGGCTTTTCTACCCATAAGTCATTGTAAACTCAGTGGTGGAATGAGCAACTGAGGAGCTCCTGATTGTAAATGTTATCCACGTGGAGTATTTCTGTTAGGTGTGGCACAATACAATGTTCTGGGAGGTTCCCACTCTCTCTCAGGTGCTTAGAGTTCTGATGCTGTGATTGGCTAGTTTGACCACCCTGCCGGGCTCAAAAGGAGGCCTCCTAGAGGCAGAACACTCTCTAACTGCTGGTTGAGGAAGATGTGCTGCTGAAAGAGACACACGCTCCTGAAAGAGACATGTGCTGCTGGGAAGGAGATGTAAGAGACACGCGTTGCTGAGTAAGACACCGAGGGACATGCACTGCTGGGAGAGAGACTGTGAGAGACTTGGCTGAGAGACGGTGGGCTGGGAGAGAGACTGAGCGTTCTTCCTGAACTTGAATTGTAGCCTGGTGCTTCCCTAATAAACCCCGTAATCTCTGAGTTCTGTGTGGCCACTTCAGCGAATTATCGAGCCCAGGAGAGAGCTGGAGGGTGCTTTGGGAGGAATAGTTGGTGAAAGGGCTGGAGGGAGGCAGCATGTCTGGCCTTGCAGTAATAGGCCTTGGGTTACTGCTGGTAATCCTGCCTTCCCCTTGTAGGGTTAGAGGAGGTCAGAACATGTGGCCTCCTTATCGTTTTTGCACTACCTTAAGTGAATGTTTAGCTCATTTGCCTATTTTTTGTTTGGCTGGAAGCTACAGGAGTGGGTTCAATTCTAGACCTGAGAGGCAGCTAGGGGCCATAGTCCCAGAGGTTCCACCAGGCTCTATCTTGATACTGACATTTTTTTGAAAGTTTAGAACAAATCACGTTTTAAAAAAATTAGTTTATGTTCAATGTTGTGGTTCCTCTTCCACCTTTCTCTCATCACCACTCCTTTAGAGACAGGAATCTTTCATTTTTACCTAATAAATTGTTCATACTATAAAGTATTTAAAGGAATTTTATGACAAAAGGACACTTGATTGATTGGTGACTTTAGTGTTTCTCTAAGATGAACTAACTACCTGAATAAATGCCATGCATAGATATTTGCTAATAACATCTACTAAACTAAGAAGACTAGTATTTATACAGCTGTTTTCCTTAAGCAGCACTGGTGACACAAATGGGTATGTACCTGACTATTAAAGTGAAAGGCTGGCAGCAGTCTGAACTCACCAAGAGGTTTCTTCTTCAGCAGAAGAAAGACTTGGTGATCTGCTCTTGTAAAGATTACTGCCAGGAAAACTCTATGTGGCAGTTCTATTCTATCACATAGGGTCATTAGGAGTAGCAGTCGACTCCATGGCCCCAGAAAATAACTTTCTTAAAATCTTTAAATATTTTTAAATTTTCTATGTCCTTACTTTAGAAAATAATAAACTTAAGGTGCAAAGCTTCAAATGACCTAATTTTAAAGAATGCTAAGAAATTTATTCATGTTATCATGTCTTTTATCACATAAAGAGCTCTGGTGGCACAGTGCCTAAGGCATTTGACTGCTAACCACAAGGTTGGCAGTTCAAATTCAACAGCCACTCCACAGAAGGAAGATGAGGCAATCTACTTCTGTAAAGATTTATCATCTAGGAAACCCAATGGGGGTCAATATGAGTTGTAACTGAGTCAATGGCAGTCAGTTATCACATAAGTTTCTTACAATTCACCTAACAATCCAGTATGTACATGCCTTTTAATATATGAAATATCTCAGATGTACAAATGACTAGATGTAATCCCAAGCCTTCAGCCAAACTACTGTTAACAATCATAGAGTAGAACATATATTTTAATACTAAATAGGGTAGTATGAGCTGCATTTAATGTACCAGAATAAGAGGTATATTTGTTTTAGACCAAATACCACTTTCAGATTTATTTGTGTGTCATCAGTATCATGAAATGTTTTTGTTTTACAAAATTCCATTACATTCAGTATGATGCTAAACAATGGATATTAGCAAACCAATTACCATCGACTCTAAATAATAAACAAAATATAGACCAGGCACTTATTTAATTAGATCATAGACGTTCCTTTTGATAACTCCATTCCTCAGTCAACATTTCCCCAGGGATCGACCTACCTACCTTTTTGCTCTTTGGAAAGCTGTTCAGCTTGGTCCCAAATTTCAGTGGCATAGAGGAAGTTGGATGTAACTTGAACATAGCTGGCTGCCATCTGGTGGATCCTCTGTGGAATGGTCACGGAAGAACCACTTGCTGAAGCACTACTGGCTCCAGAAGAATAATTTCCTGAATTGCCTGGCGACAGTTTTGGAGAAACAGGGGAAGGCATTCCAACAGCTTTGCTATACACAGAGAAATAGGAAGGTTGTTCATATGGATATGGTGAATGTTATGAAATCAAAGTACTACTAGTAATCAAAGTACTCTTCTTATATGAAGGTTTTTAAATTTTAAAGATTATTTTAAATTAGAAGAATTCCTAGAAAAATACATTTTCTTCTAAACAAGTACTTACCTCATCAAAGGGCACTGCAAATGATGATCTTATCTAGACCCTTTGTTTTACTGAATGGCAAGAGATCAAGAAATGGGAAATAACTGAAGTCATACATCTTGTTAACAGCAGTTCAAAGACTTAGAAACCAGATCTCCTCACACCCAGTACATTTTCCATCTATTCAGGCATATAATTAGGTATTTTTCAAATTGTTGTAGAAGGTTGGGTAGAGTTAACAATTAACTCAAAAATTGGTAATGGTAAATGGAAACATTTTATTTTGAGCTCCAAATTTTCTAGCAATTTCCTAGCTTAACCAAATTATCCAAAGCCGAAAAGAAGTAACACTTCTTTCTATCAACTACAATCATCTCAGGCTTTCTTCCAACTAAATACTTCTTACCCAAACCTATTGCCATCGAGTCAATTCCAACTGATAGTAACCCCACGCAGCACAAACAGACTGCCTCACAGGGTTTCCAAGGCTGTATAACATCTTTATGGAAGCAGACCACCACATCTTTCTCCTATGGAACAGCTGGTGGGTTTGAACTGCCAACCTTTCAGTTAACAGCTGAGTGTTTCAACCACTGTGCCACCAGGACATCTTAAATATTTCTTAGGAAACAAACATGCTGAAATCTGACAGATTCATTTCAGGAATACTAACATTTATGGAAATGCCTAAGATCATGATCATGTATTAAGAAAACGAAAATTAAACAGAAGTTGGAAAAAAAACAAGTTCTTAAGAGTATTTTTTATCTGTGCTCTTCTAGCATCATAAATTTGGTTAAGAAAATATAATAAAAGGGCAAAGATAGAATGGCAGTAACTAAACAGATAAACTTAGTAAAATAAGAACATTTCATGGTGATTTTCCTCCTTTTGGGGGTGGGTGGGATGGATGTGATGTAGGGATGGAGGATAAACTGCAATCATGCCACTGTTATTAAATTCTGGAACTACCAAGATTTGAGTAAAGAAATGCACATGGTAATTATGGAAGTAATTATGGAAATCAGATTGTAGGAGGAGTTGAGGTACTCTTGTAAAAAAAAGATTTTTGAAGGTAAAATGTCCCATCTGTAATCTTGTTAGATTATATTCATTTATACTTTCATTTTATTAAAAAAATAAAGAAGAAAGAAAATGATCACATCTAGGATACATAACATAAAAATACTTACATTAGAAATGGATTTTATTTTTAAAATATTAATCATCTATTTTTGGAAACTGTACCCTAACCATGTTACTTTTATATAATAAACAAACAAATGTCACAAATGATATTTTAGACAATAAAATTTTACCTACCTTCCCAAGCCAGGTGATGGAGCTTGGGAATTATTATAAGAATTCTGTAAAGAAAATAAAATATATTTAATAATTTAAAAAGAAAGAAAGAAAAGCATCACCCCTACAAAATACTAATTATATTTCAAAGCACTGGGCCAGAACTGATCTCAAGAAGCTTTATACATTTAAGAGAAAAAAATGTGTGTGTGTGGGAGTATGTGCATAAAAAGGAAGTAAGTTATTTAGCAAAGACCTGGAGTGCTCTGGAATACTTCACAGAAGAGGCAGGCAAGAACGACTAATACTGAGACAGATAAAAGGGGACAGGGAGGTGAGCCATACTATGTACAAAGGCTGGAGAAAAAAGAAGGCATACAGTTTGGCTATGGCAGAGATTTAGACCAAGAATAAGAGAGAAACCTTGAGGGTCTTGCAGGCCAGGGGAAGGAGCTTGGACTTGACCCTGCAGGCTATGTAAACTACAAAAGGGTGAAAGTCATAATCAGAGCAGGATTTTAAGAAGATACTGCGTGGTCATGAAAAAACATAGGAAGACATGTTAGGAAACTAAGATAACAGTGTAAAGAAGGATGGCAGTGAAAACAAAAGGTCATTTTAAAAGTATTAATTAGGTTTCATAATAAATATATTACATTTACTCAGATTTTATTAAAACCTAGTGCATATGGCTCTATAGGTTCTACAATAGGATATACATATACCTACGATGGGTTTAAATACTTTTCCAAGAAACTCCAATTATCTGAAAGTTCCCAAATAGTAGTTCTTCTGCTGTGGGCAGGTATGAGGGCACTTCTGGGTTGGTATGGGGGACTTTGTTAAGTGTTGTCTCCTAGGAAATGGATCATCCTTTCTTGCACACTTACCTTCAAGTGCTCTGTTAGTGTCTTTGAGTACTTTAGAGCATTTTCCTTCTTCAGTTTGAAAAGCCTCAGGTACAGCAAAGACTGGCATCGGAGGCTAGCCAACGGAAAAGGGCAGTTAATTTACCAGGACTTTAGACTCTGGCCACATCTGCACAGGTAACATTTGCAGTGTGAAGGAATACAGGGCTGACTAATGTGGGCAGATCCTGGCATAACGTCAACAACACTCATCCTTAGGCAAAACCAAAAGATATGTCTTACTGTGGGACATATCCTAGGGAGGGAAGATGGCTAAGAGACCTAGGACTACCAAACCAAAACTTGTTGCCATCGAGTCAATTCTGACACACAGTGATGCTACAGGACAGAGTAGAACTGCCCCATAGTGTTTCCAAGGCTGTGATCTTTATGAAAGCAGTCTGCCTTACCTTTCTCCCACAGACCTAGGACTAGCCTCCCATTATCTGCTAACTTTCAAAATCAAAACCTCACTCACTGGTCATTGACATGTCGTTAATATGTGCACTAAAAAAAAATTAAAAAATCCCTAAGTGACAGAATCTCCACATTAAATTTTAAAACCCAAAAATCCAAGTCCATTACAGTAGGCCTATTCCAACTCATAGCGACCCTGCAGGACAGAACAGAACTGTCTCATAGGGTTTCCAAAGCTGTAAATCTTTACAGAAGCAGACTGTCACATCTTTCACCCAGGGAGAGGCTGGTGGGTTCGAACTGCCAAACTTTTGGTTAGCAGTCAAGCACTTAACCACTGCATCATCAGATCTCTTTGATGAAATTATAAATAATCTAAGTTTTTACAACAAATAAACACACAAAAATTCTATGAAATATAAAAACATTACTATGGCTCACAAAGGCCCTTCGTGTCATCTGTGCCTATCCCTCCAGTCACTTTCACTCCTTACTGCTCTTTGAGTTCCTTGAAACCTTCAATTCCTTTCTACCCAGCCGTTGTACATACTGTTTCCTCTACCTACTCTCTACTCGTATAGTTACATATACTTTTCTTTCAGAGTAGTTAATTCATACACTCGTATAGATATTTGATTAATTTGTCACCTCATGTTAGACCATAAACTTCCTGAGAAAGAGGAGGCTGTTTTATCCACAGCTGCATTCCCAGTGTTAAACATAGGGCAGGCTACAAATAATACCTATAACAAAAGAACTGACAGGATTTCCCACAGAAAGAACAAAAAAGTCACATTTTTTATTCTCAGCAAACTACAGGTACACTGTAGCTATGTCTAGTGTTATACCCACCCTACTATGGGCCAAACAAGAAAACAAGAACTGTCAAACCCCAGGTATCCCAGGATACTCAGTTTTCAAATCTGCTTCTATTATCTGCTGCTCCCTAAGGAAAGGTATATATGTGAATGGAGAGAGAGGGTACCAAAAAAGAAGAGCCCAGAAAAGTGATCTTGTAAGACACTGGTGGGTTCTAATCCCAGCTCCATCCTACCAAATCTTTCCTCAACAGGGCAATGATCAGAGACTGACAACAAGAAGTAAAATCTTGCAGTAGGAATTTTGAGTCATTTCCTGCTTTACTTGTCAATAACATTTATGATAGGGTTGATTTATTCAAGGACAACTCTCAGATTCAAGGAGTACATAGCAAAATTTACTATGGAACTGAATGCCATCTAACAGTGGCTAGAACAGAAGCATACTTACCAAAGTACTGTGAGTCTTTTATCTGCAGCTGTAGCATCTGGTGCCAAGTAATTCTTTAGCTTCATAGTGTATCTGTGAGTTAAGAAGACAGACAAATGACAAGCAGAATATAACACTTCATCTTGATCTTATATGTCTTCCTTTATCCTCAAAATTTAGAATTAAATTTACATAAAGGCAAAATTATCTACTGAAATATCTAGTTCTCCTTATCCAAGGACAGTAAAGGGTTAAGTACCTTCTTTAGATTTACTGTATATAGTTAACTCAGCTCCTTCCCAGGTGGACTAGAGAAGTAATGTTACTCAGTGACGTGGCAAGACTTTCCACTTACTTGATGAGCTCCACCGTCTCTGAATACATAGGGAATGGGGATTTGGATTCCTGAGCATTTTTCTCTAATGCATTCCCACATTCAATGAAAGACACCACAGCATCAAGATAGTATACTGCTTTCTCAAATCTATCAGACTGAAGAAAGGAGAAAAAAGGTAGTGAGAGCAGCACAAGTCTACTATGTGTACAAACAACAAATAAAGATTTCAGTTCACTTGATAAATACATAAATGAGTATTTACATACCAATGCATCTGCATTGTGCTTTAGCTTTTTTGCTTCTTGCAAATAATGGTCTGCTGAATAATTTCTGCAATGTAAATTTTTTATAAATTGGTAAACATATTCATAATACTACTTCATTTTCGTTTCTAGCATCCCTTAGTTTTCATGTCCTCACATAAAGAGAACAAGCTATTACTAATCACTTCTCATAGTTTTTCCTGACAAATGTTTAAATCAGGTTAAGAATATTAAAGCTCCTTAGTATTTAATACTAATTTACCAAAGTTGTTTCAAAGGTTAGCGTAAATAAAACATGACCAATTATCAAAATGGGAGTGGAATCACAAAATTGTTCTTTCTTATCAAACAAAGTTTCTTATTTTAAATAAGCAGTGTTTTTAGAAACAGTTAAGATTCCTCTACCAGATGGCATATCATTCATATCCCCCATAAGAGCCATGTTTAGTTAAAGGAATAATACTTGGGCTACTAGGTGCTTTTTCTAATTAAAACAATGACTCAGCAGACCACAATATATTACAAATACTAGTTCTAATCACTGACAGAAATGAAAATGAATTGTTCATATGCTGTTTGGAACAATTTCTTAAATGCATAAAAAAATCATGTTTATCTCACCTGTCGTCAAAGGCAAGCTTTGTTCTCCGAGGCTTAGAAGCATCAGGAGTTGGTGTAGATAGAGGACAGTTAGAGGAGCTACTTGGAGGCTTTTCCTGACAAAAAAAAAAAAAAAAACAACTATGTTGAAAATTGTGAGGAAATTAAAAGCATGTCTGAAGCGACAAGTAAAAACGACAAGAAATTCTGCTGCTTTTGGTAATTCATTTCCTTGTCTGTCTATATATATATATGTAAACCAAACTCAATGCTGTCGAGTTGGTTCCAATTCATAGCGACCCCTCTTTGGGTTTCCAAGGTGGCATCTCTACGGAAGTAGGTTGCCCAACCTTCCTTCCAAGCAGTGGCTGGTGGGTTTGAACCACCAGCCTTCTGGTTAGCAGTCAAATGTCTTAGGCACTATGCCACCAGAGCTCCTTGTTATAAAACTTTCAAACTTCAGAACATAAACTTTCTTTTTACAGAAAAGATCCATTTTATATAACCAAAATATTAATTCTATTATCTACTATGGGTTTTCTACATGCCAGACACTTGTTAAAACATGAGGAATATACACACCTAATAACAAAATGGCAGCACTACTTGCACATTTTATTTGGTAATTACTGGTCAATAAAAAAACAGCAGTAATAACATCTGTTTACTGTGGGCTTAGTACTTGCCAGGCACTAAGTTAACTAAGTACTCAGGTACAGTTGTTAATTCTTCAACAACCTTATGAAGGAGGTATTGCTATTGGGAGCTCTGTTGGTGTAGTGCCTAAGGCATGTGACTGCTAACCAGAAGGCTGGTGGTTCAAACCCACCAGCCACTCCTTGGAAGGAAGGTTGGGCAATCTTCTTCTGCAGAGATAACACCTCAGAAACCCAAGGGGGGGGGGTCACTATCATTAGGATAGAATAAAAAGCAGTCTTGATAAAGCTGTGTAACTTGTCCAAGTTCAAACAGCTTTTAAGTGGCAGTTCTGGGGAATGAGTTTTAAATTCTGATCTGTCTGATTTCAAAGGCCAGTCTCTTTCTTAAACTTTACTCTGTCTTCCCAATTGCTTCTACTTCCACTCCGATCTTAAACTAAATATACATCCTATCTATAACATAAAATATCGTAAGTAGAATTTATTCTACAAATTCATGAATATTTCAACATTAAAAATCTCCTAATATGTCATAATTTTACTATGTTCGCTCAAACTCTATTTAAAAGGAATGATGTGACAAATTTTTTCTTTTCCTGAACAAGAGGGTTTTCAGTTCCATCCACTGCAGCTTACTTCAAGGAATGAAAATCAGAGTCTTGAGATTTAAGAAAACACTAAGTTCTTTATGGTAAAGTTCACATATTTATGAAATGATTTCCTGAATATTATGTTGCAGTTTAACACTACTAGGATAACTCCCTCTCTGTGTTTTATAAATAGACCAGTAAGTGCCTGCATTTGTTTGAGGAAAACTGGAGTTTTCTGAAAATAAGGAAAAGAATTTTTCAGATATTACAACACCTTCTTCTTACACAGCAACATCTGTGAAAGCCAGAACCTGTGTAAGGCAGAAAACTGTCAGAGCAGGAAAACTCAAATATTTATTTTCCAATAAAATGAGCAACAGAAAAGTGGTAAGATTTGTCAAAAGTGGAAACTCTGCGAGACCTGGAAAAACAAGGCAGTCTTGTCAAGTTCCATCTCTCACAGGTTTCACTGTATAAAAATTCTTTGTGGTTTTGGTTTTCTAGATGGTCTAATTTTTCTTCAGTTGATGTAATTAAAAAAAAGCATTTCTTCTAACTAAATTACAGATTTTTATTTAAAAAACTCACATGTAATTGCTTAAACTGAAAACTGTCAAGACTAACATTAACAAATAGTGCCATAAGATCTTGAAATCAAAGTGGTCATGCCTATTTCATAGCTTGTCAGTAACAACAGGGTACCACATGACTATATTTGATCTGACAAATATTTCTTGATTTACTCAGGGAGCTAAGCCACTACATAAAGTAAGTAAAGGCACAATTCCCTGCCTTGAAAAAGCTGACAAACAAGTTAGGAAAACACAAACAGTAATTTTTACCTATGAGACAGCAGAAGCCAAAAGAGCAGATGAGCTCCCATAATGAATGCATGTTTGTAAAAGGTAAGAGGCTTCAAAAACAAGCATGTTATTGTTGTTGTTGTTATGTGCTGTCAAGTCGGACCCGACTCATAGCGACCCCTCCTTGGATTTCTGAGGCAGTATCACTACGGAAGTAGATTGCCCCATCTTACTTCCGAGGAGTGGCTGGTGGGTTTGAACTGCCAGCCTTCTGGTTAGCAGTCAAGTGCCTTAGGCACTACGTTACCAGAGCTCCTAAAGACAAGCATGGGGACCTCAAATCCTACAGTTACAGGATGTGAAGTGGAGGAAGAGACAGTCAAGCAGGCAGACAGAGAACTGGGAAAGTGAAGAAGGCCAACCGAACAGTCAGTTCCTAAGAACACTGGGGCTAACTCTCCTTCTGTTCATCTTAATTTGAGAAGTTATTCATAATTCAAAGTTTAAACCATTTAGAGACCAACCACATTTAACCTGCATCACTAATGCCTTGTTATGTTGTTGTTATGTGCCATCGAGTCGGACCCGACTCATAGCGACCCCTCCTTGGGTTTCCGAGGCAGTATCACTACGGAAGTAGATTGCCCCATCTTCCTTCCGAGGAGTGGCTGGTGGGTTTGAACCGCCAGCCTTCTGGTTAGCAGTCAAGTGCTTTAGCCACTATGCTACCAGAGCTCCCTACTAATGTCTATTTTCAACTCTTAAATCTTTGCTTACCCAAATCACAAATATTAATTCACTGAATTATAGTCCTAAAAATCTAGGTATTTTCTTTTTTTTGCAGACAAATACATTTATTGTAGGTTATTGATAAAGGGAAAATGGCAAACTGTCTAAAAAGTTTGGGGTATAAAACTCACTTATTTTAACAAGAAAACCACAGAGAAAAAATGGAAAGAATACCAAAATATTAACCATGCTTATCTTTGGTTTGGTAAGAAAATGGTTGGTGTAGGAGTTAAGCTTGTGGATCAATTTGGCCAGGCCATGATTCTGAGTACCTTGGTAGCTGGATGGAGCTATTCCTTAGGATGAGATTGGATGTGGTATAATCACCCCCATGGTGGAATCTGCTGGGAGTTGCCTTTGGGATGTGGCCTGCTTCCAGTATATATGAAAAGGATCCTGCAAGTAGACCATCATCATCTCCAGCTCCTGGACATGAACCAGTGGCCTCTGGGGTTGCCTACCAATCTTGAGATTGTGCCAGCAAGGATTTGTCAAAATCTAGGTATTTTCTTAATTTTGTCTTGTATATTCTGATTTTAGGGAGTTTTTCTTGATTTTAACAATTAAATCCTCAAAGACATCTCTCTTTTGATTCTTTTTTTTTTCCTATAAGGAAAAACAGATACCTAGTGTTTTGTTCTGTTGTACCTGGGGTCGCCATTATGAGTTGGAGCTGACTTGATGGCACCTAATGACAACAACAACAATAGGACTAAAGTGAATTGGGTGAAATCAGGGCTCTTTGGGCTGACCACTAAGGTTTCCTGGAAGTTGGATGCTCATTACTTAAGCCTTCTAACTCTCCTTCATTCTACAACTGGCACATCAAACCCACAAGTGAATTCTGACTCATAGTGACCCTATAGGACAGACTAGAACTGCCCCATAGGGTTTCCAAGGCTATAAATCTTTACAGAAGCAGATTGCTTCATCTTTCTCCCATGAAGCAGCTGGTGGGTTTGAATTGCCAAACTTTTTGGTTAGTGCCTCAACCACTGGGCCACCAAAGCTCTTTGATCTAGCACATAAAAAAAACCCAAACTCACTGCTGTCGAGTTGACTCGGCTCATAGCGACCCCTCCCTGGGTTTCCAAGGTGGTATATCTACAAAAGTAGACTGCCCAATCTTCCTTCTGAGGAGTGGCTGGTGGATCTGAACCGCCAGCCTTCTGGCTAGCAGTCAAAAGCCTTAGGCACTACACCATCTGGCACATAAGCATTTATATTTTAAAACAGCTGCCCAGATGATTAATGCACTGCCAGAATGGAGAACTGATTCCTGGAATGCCAATCCACTGTTGTTTCATATGGATGTAGTGGTAGAGTTAATTTTTCCCAGAAACAGAGTTAAAGATTCCACAGATAACTGTTACCATACAAAGCACTTTGGAGCACTGTCTGGCACACAGAGAATACTCAATAAATATAAACTATTAGTAGTAGTAGTATTAGCATTATCACCAACATCAAGCAGATAATCAGGAGTTGCTACATGCTATACTTTCTTTCATTTCAGTAAAGAATTAAGTCATTTTTTTTCCTCCTTGATAAAGAGATTAAGATTTAGGAGTTACATGACTTGACCAAAATTTCAGAATCAGTATTCAAATTCTGACTGAAATCTAAATGTCTTTTCATTATACCAGGTGAGTGGTAGTAGTGGTAACAGCTTCCTGTTTTAGAGTTATTTGGAGTAACAATCTCAAAACTAATACTATTTTTCAAGCTTTCCCTGGTTTCCTAAACCACTATCCACTCTTGTTTTCCAGATTAAGGTCTCCTTGAGAGGTTTACACAGAAGTCAGTATGGGCTAAACTCAAATAACAATTGAGCAAGAAAAGTGGGCAGAATTTTTTGGCCTACAAACCTAATGGGAACAATTAATATTATTTACAATATAGAACCTCAAGCTCTGGGGCACTCCTCTAGGCTAGAAGCGAACAGATTAGCAAAAACAGTCTTTCAAGACCGATCCTAACAATTTTGAAAGCAATACAAATCAACTGGTAAACAGGAAGGGTGAAAGTTTATCTATTAACGTACAGTCTTGAAAAAGCTTCTCTGATCCAATTCCTCATCCACAAACATGTAGAATACTCTCCTACATTGTGAGCAATGCTCTAGGAAATATTCCAGTGGTAGCTCAATTAAAGATTTTTTTTCTATTCTATGAATCAAAGCCAAATGGTTATTTTGTAAAATAATTTGTTTATAAAATCTAATTCTAAATTCAAAGCCAATTTCAAACCATAGGCAATAATTCAATCTTAGCAAATGGAGCCATTTCAAATTAGATCAAGTTCTTAATACAAAAACTTTCATAACCAATCTTCCTAATTATAGGCTTCTATCTTAATAAGGAGTTCTAGTGACACAGTGGGTAAGGCATTTGGCTGCTAACCGGAATGCCAGCAGTTCAAACCCATCAGTTGCTCTGTAGGAAGAAAAGGAGGCAGTCTACTTCCATAAAGATTTATTGCCTTGGAAATCCAATGGGGGTCACTATGAGTCAGAATCAACGTGATGGTGTGGTTTGGTTTTCGGTTTATTTTAATACTGTAGCTATAAGCAACATCATGATAAATGGAGAAAAGACTGAAACTGTCAGGAATTTCATTTACTTGGATCTACAATCGATACCCATGAAAGCAGCAGTCAGGAAATCAGACGTTATATTGCACTGTGAAAATCTGAGGCAAAAAACCTCTTTAAAGAGTTAAGGATCGGAGGCGGGGCAAGATGGCGGACTAGGCAGAAGGATTGCACAGACCCTCTTCAACAAAGAAAAGGGAAACCAATTAACACAGACACAGAAGAT